AGCCTCTTCATGTCCGCCGATCTTAGAGGGCAGGTTTCGCAACCGTACAGTAGGGTCGAACGTACTGCTGCGTTGTACACTGTACCCTTCAGGGCAAGAGTAATGTGGTGCCGCCGCCATAGGTGGCGAAGGTTAGCAAAACACTTCGAGCTTTTACTATATTGTTCGTGATCTCGTCTTCGATCCCAAGGGCGCTGATACAACTTCCCAGGTAGTTGAATTTCCGAACGACTTGTAGCTGATCCCCACCAGGGGTCAGCGCAGGAGGCGATCCCTACCAATCTTGGAGGAACGCTTTGCATTTCGATGGTGCAAAGCAAAGCCCGAAGCGGCTGACAGTCAGTGCTAATCGGTCCAGCTAGGCTTGGCACATCTGGGAGCTGTCACAGATGAGGGCAATGTCGTCTGCATACTCCAAGTCAAGAAGTCGTTCTACTGGGTGTAGCTCCACACCTTCCAAGTCATGTCCTGTAAATGTAATCTCCATGACTTCCTCAATAGCGAAGTTGAAGAGGAAAGGTGACAGCGTGCATCCTTGTCTCACACCGCTGGAGCTATTGAAGGGTGGCGAAAGCTTGCCGTGCTATGCGCGTGTAATGCTTGGATAATATTTACATATTTCTCGGGCACACCTTTCCTGAGTAGACAATTTCAAAGGGCACATCGATCAATCGAATCGAAGGCACCTTTGATGTCGAGAAACACGACTACGGTGGGCCGCCAATATGTGTGACGGTGCTCCAACAACTGACGCAAGGTGAAGATGTGATCGATGCAGCCACGACCCCGACGAAACCCGGCTTGCTCCAATCCAGTTGATCCGAGCACCGAAATACGATGGATCCAATTGCCACGACCGACGTCGAAAAAATAACAATAAATAACTACGGCAGGGTAGGTTGGTTACTGGGAAATAGAAGGTAAGGAAAGTGGGTGCAAGACGGAAGTGTGCTAAACTAATCGGAATTGAACGAAAATTAACAACCAGATGCATGGACGCCATTGACTGAGTGATTACGCCATGGCAGATGCTTTCTCTAACCATTGGTGTGGACCATCCCGAGGCCTTCAGTCTGATCACGTCTTTTAGTCAATTTCTTCATCCTACTATGCGTCGTCATGGACTGGCCACCTCGCGGTTTCACCCAAATTGGTGCAGCCACGGCGTATAATGCACGCCTAGGAAACCGGTCGACTGGCATACGTAAGACATGCATTAGCCAACGTAGACGATTAAAATACAGCAAACACTTCAGTGAGGCACCAGTAGGCTTGTCAAAAACCGGCTGGCGGACCTCAGCAATGCTCATCCGGTGTTCCTACCGGACGTGAGCAATACTCCGCAAGCATCTGTGGTCAGACATGGCCAAGCGTCTAATGTCTTCGCCGCGAACTAACCCGGTCTCTGATCCTTACTGTAATACCGGCCTTATCGCAACAGTATACACCCTAAATTCCACTCAGAGGCTTATATCACGCCGTCTCCATAGATGATTGAGTCTCTGGAAAGCCGCACAGGCCTTGCTGATACGCGAAGTAACTTCATCAGTGATATGATTCCCAGGGGTGATACAGCTATCAAGGTAAGTGAACTGATCCACCACTTCCAGTGGCCGTTCGGTGATAGCTGAAACCGGAGGTGTGTTGGTCCAGTTTTGCAACAGTACTTTGCGCTTTGGAGACACAAAGCACAAGCCGTAGCGTGCGGCGCTACGCGTCAGCCTATCCACCTGTGTTTGCATAGCCAATGCGTCGGACCCAAGGAGAGCTATGTCGTCCGCATACTCTAGGTTTGTCAGTCGGTCACCTGCTAAATCTTCCACTCCGATAGAGTCTGAAAAACGAAGTCATTCATGATCATTTCGATAACAAAGTTGAACAGGAAAGGAGATATGGGACAGCCCACTTGTTGCCGTGGGAACTCATGAGACAGTTTCTCATCGATCCTTACACGGCTTCGGGAGTCACGATAGAGACTTAAGAATGGATAGGAATTTAGCTGGCACGCCCTTCATGGATAGGCAGTGCCACAAGCTGGTGCGGTCAACTGAGTCGAATGCGACTTTCAAGTGAAGCAAAACCACCATCCTCGGTCGTCTGTATGTGTGCCTCTGTACTACCACGGCGAAGAGTAAATATATGGTCAATACTACCACAACCAGGGCGGAAGCCAGCCTGGATTTTAGTGATTCGGTTCTCACGGGTACCAGTAAGTCGTCGGGGAATAGTGCTAGTGAAGTTTTGATGCAGTGAAACAAGGTTGATGCCTCGATGATTTTCGCACAAAATACTCTGAGTCTTCTTGGAGATAAGCACGACAGTCACCAGTCTGGAGGAACCTATTCACTGTTTCAAATCGTGTTAAATAGAGAGTCGAGTCCAGTCAACAAATGGTCACCACCATCTTTCAGCAAAGATGGTGGAAGGTCGTCGGGTCCAGGAGCCTTGTTTCAACACGGAAAGCTCATATCGAATCTTTTCCAAAGTGGGAGTTGTCACATCTGCTTCCCACAACGGCTCAGGCGATTCGGCCAGCGGCAGTGTCGCGGAAGGCCTCCTGAACTGTTCCTCGAAATGTTCCGCCCAACGGGCTAGTCGATGACACTGCAAATGGATCGTATGCCGATTTTTTCAGCTATTGTCTCGCTAACAGATGGCTTTCTCGGACCTGTGTTTCGGATGAGCTGGAACGGAACTCGGTTGTTCCCAATATTACTTTCATCTCAGGAGCTCTTGCGACTCACCAACGTTCTCGGTCAGTTAGAAGACTCCTTGCGATGCGTCGTTTCAGAGAGTTAAGGACATGCTGAAATCCGGTGCCCATTGGAACTTGCTTCCGTGCTTCGATCAGGCAGATCAATGTCTCAAAGATCCATTCGCAGTTACGACGTTTCAAGTTGGGTGCACAGCATGCGCCAAAGGCATTCTTCATGGCACGTTTGAGACGATTCTAGTCAGCGTTCGGTTCACCAACCTCATTTATCACTGACAATTGGAGGGCCAGTTGGTCGTGATATTCTTGAACTACAGATTACGAGTTCAAGTTGCAGATAAGAAGGTTAGAAGATAGACGCTTCTTTGAAGCGGGAAGAGTGAGCGATCAGCGTGCGGGCACTAGAGCATGGCCAAAATCCATGCACGTGCTAAAAATTTACCGACAGTTTTGGACTAATGTGCGCCTTCTGTAGTCAATGACAATATGGTCAATTTGGGTTCAAGTCACTGATGGATCCGGTGGGCACTGGGTGATGCGGTGCGAACGATAATGCTGAAAAGCCGTGCTGCTAAGGTAGAGGTTGTAGTCCGCGCACAATTACAGGAATCGATCGCCATTGTCAGTTCGCCGTGCATCGAGCACGAGGCGGCCTCCATTGTGTTGTTCAGAGTCTGAAAAAGTTCCACCTTGGGCACTCATGTCACCAGCAACAATCACAATGTGTGTTCCTCGCAATGCGAAGAAGATACAAGAGTTTATGATGGAAATCGTCTTTGGTACCCTCTGAACTGCATTCAGTGGGGGCATAAACTGAGGTGATGAAAGGACACCATGTCTTCGGACGGTTTTTATTAACTCCAAAAAGGGTTCGAAGTCGAATTTCACACATGCGGCTGTTCACCGGTATCCAGTCGAGCAGATTGCCTTCAGCATGTTTGCTGAGGGCGATACCCACAACGTAAATACTTTAGATCATTAACTCGGTATCGCCAGAGGCGCGAAGAGTGTAGTCATGGTGCAGACGACTGTTGAAATTTCAGCAGACGGCATTTCGTGTTTAAATGTGCTAAGATAATCTGAGTCTTCTTCGAGTGGATCTGATAAACGTCTGGTCTCGTACGGTGATTATTGGTGGAACTTGGTTAAATGGATCCTGAAACCATAAAGCAAAGCATGGTGTGAAAGCACCCTAACTCACCAGCAGCCAAGGTATTCCGTTCTGCACTCGACCCACAAGGTCAGGACCTGTACTTTCTGGGATTTCGAAGAGATACTTTGTATGGTTGTCTGGGTCAAAGTGTCACGATAACTGGCTCACTTCAGCAAATTGGGTAACTATGAAGTGAAGAAGCGGGGATAATTAAGAAACGTCATTCTGCTTCTTCAAGACAACGTTCATAGTCTCATGTAGCGGACTGACATGGAGGCAACTCTTGAATCAGAATTCAAATTGCGGGAACATCTACCCTATTCTCCAAACCTTGATACCACTGACTTTTATGTTTTATCATCTCAGGGATCACATTCGTGCCAGAAAATCTGTGCGATTCTGACGTCGTTCCAGACGTAAATATCTAGTCATAAGATCAGCGAGGGTATCATTGGCGCACCGATGGACAGCGTATTGAAGTCAGAGCAATTTACGTTAGAAAAAGTAATTGACGCTTTTAAACTGATTCTCTTTCAGAGTCAGTTTATGAACTTTTTGGATGGCTCTCGTAGGTTTATTATTTGATTCGGGAATGTAATTGCTTCGATTCCAATGTCCAGAATAAGCGCCAAGTGACTGCATACTTAGTTTGTTCATATTTATCGGCTAGAATGAAGGCTTCAATCAAGAGGGACCTTTTTGTTACTGAACTTTATTGACAGAGTATTAAGGATACGGTTATGTATTGTTGTTAGTTTTAGACATCTTTATATTCACCGAGGAAATGACTCGATCTTATTGTATTTATTGTTCATTTTTTTAAATCTTCAGAAGTATCTTCAATTCGCTTTCATCATTAGCACAGTAATTTCCATTATCTTCCATACACCTACGTTATCAACACCATCATGATTACCATAATGGCACAACGACTGTTATGAGCAATTTCTGTGGCACTTTTTTCCCGGCTAGCCGGTATTGTTTGATCTGATTCTACTTTCTTCTAAGTGGGCACATTCGGTGGGAATTTTTCGCCTACCAGTTCAGTTAAGGCAGAAGTATACTACGTACATGAAATGGTTTCACTTGTTCTGCAGTCTAATCTCTCAATTCTGTTTGGATCCAATTATTTAGGCTTACGTGAGCGCTGGAAACCGCAAAGATGAAATCTCGGGGACATCAAATGTAAAAACTCTCAATTCGATTCTTTGCGCTGCGTTTTCCGATAACTACCCTCAGCCTGTTCAGCGATGCATATTGGATCTGATTCAGCATTTTGGTATGTTCTCCGATTGTCTCGCCGATGCAGACTCCATCTCCATTTTGTAGGCTCAAACACATCTATGCGATACCGATTGATCACATCGTTCTCCATTCTGAAAAGCTTAGCTTTCGGACTAATCTCCACCTCACCCGTTGGTACGGATCAAGCGAGAGTTAGTTCGTACATTTGGTCCCGTACTCATTGCGCTTTCAGTTGCTGGAACTTGTACAATTGTATACCATCGATTTACACCACTTGTGTGTTTCCCTCGAACCAGAGTTATTTTCTTCCCTACTCAAGTTTGTCATCCGAGTGATTCGCCAGTCAAAGTCCGATGAATCACTCGAACCTGCACTTTGCATTCTTGCAAGTTTGTCCCGGTTCTCCTCACTCATTCAGCAATGCTTGGCAAAAAAGGTATTTTCGTATGTCACGTTTCTTTCTGATTTTTTCTTGCGTTTAGGACGACTTCGAGGTGCTGCGAAAGACTTTACTGCACATCATGACCTCAGATAGTGTTAGTCAGTCATGCCTCGTGTGCTGCATGGCAGTTCGTTTCTATCTCTGGAAAGCAGCGGACAAAGTGAGTACATCCGCTCCTTTGTCGCTAGTAATGCCGTGTTCGTTAAATGTACATAAAGCGCATTATTGGCTCGACTTGATAGCGTACTTCTGATGCATTTTACATCTACGATTGCCCTTTGGCTTCAGGTCACACAGTGTATACTCGATAACTAAAAAACAGCTTCTCAGCCACCGTGACCGCTTTACTAGCGTATCTTGCTTATTTGATGATAAAGACGTGTATGAATAATTGCGGCGTCCAAAGTTTGATTCTCAGTGCTGTACATTTTTTTTGAACTATCTAATCAAAGACGGAACATATGTTGGAGTGCAACAAACAACATTGCGTTTCTAGCACTGAGCTCCCTGTATCAATCTAAATAAGACAAGAAGAAGACTGGTATTGCGAGTTGGAACCATTTCGTGTTATCTGATCACCCGCCAACTAACAACTTAAATATGAACCAAATGACAGAAAAAATCGAAGGTTTGAAATTAGTCACAAAGGGAAAGTACCTAGACGCAAGTACAACAGATCAACGAGCTTCCACTTAAGGTCATAAGCCCCAATGAAGCTTCAGGGAGACTTAATTGTTTCTGTACACAAAGGATAGGGCGATTCCTGTTAAGTGCCACAGCTTCGGCAAACCTCAAAACTTCGGGGTTTTCATTTCGATAGATGATTGTAAATATTGACCCCGGGTCAACCTGATTGCCTGTTTCGATTAGATGTCTGGCGATAGATGATACCGGCAACTTAGATAACTTTTCTTTTTCGGCTGGTTGCTGTGTCGATAGCTTAGCAATCCGTTCCGGGATATGCTCTCCAATGCGCTTACCCAAGGCTCGATCTATTCTGCCAATGTAACTACTTCCGCAATTACAAACCATTTGGTAAATACATTGGGGTGTTTCTTCGGAGATCGGTTAAGGAACCTTCACTGGAGGTATCGGCAACTTCTTCCTCCCCAGCCCGTATCGTCTGACTCATTTCGTGATCAACTGCAAATCGTCCAGAAATTCAAGTATCTGGCAGCTATATTAGCGTCATTGGGATCAAAGATGAAATCACAAATCGTATAGCAAAAGCTCGATGCCCTTTTGCCAGTCTTCGTCACCTGTGGCGTCGACGCGACTCCACTTTCGCCCTGAAGGGCAGAGTTTACAATGCAGTCGTACGGTTGCGAAACCTGGCCCATTAGATCGGCAGACATAAAGAAAATAGTTACGTTCGACCACCAATGCCTTCGCAGTTTGGCCCACATCTGATGAGAACACCGCGTGAGCAATGAGCGTGTTCTGGGCCTTGTTTATGGCACAAGAAGAGGAAGTGACCCGCTCAGCACCGCTATATCACGCACCAAGCTCCGATGGCTGGGTCACGTGATGCGTATGCCAGCACACCGACTCCCACGTCATGCACTGTTTGCGCGACCGGGATCTGATTAGAAGAAGAGAAGGGAGGCCAAGGGATGGCTTGGTCAAGAGGAATGAAGGCCTTCATTTCGAATTTAGCGTCGGTTGGGGTCTCCCGACTCCTGGGCTGGGGTCTAAAAGACGATGAACACGGTTGGTTGGATACATTTGTTGACATGGCGAAGAGCCGACTTCAGTGGTGTTTGTGTTGTGAGTCTCTTTGTCGGCCGGTGGCCGAGTGGTCTGCACGTTTGCTTTGCAACCATAAGGTCACCGGTTCAAATCCGCGTAGGGGTGGGCGTCTTCGCGGTATACTCAGCCCGCGCGCGACTGGTGGTGGTTGCGCGGCAGAGAAACGCCGTTACGTAATATGCTACTTAGCACTATGTTACTTTTTTAGTTTAGTAGTTCGTAATGTATCGTATCCCATTTTTTTCTACTGCGGCACCTTAGCCGATGTGTGTGTTTCCCACCCTCGGCTAACGTGTGTTGATGATGAAGATCTCCTCCCATGCAATTCGGTTATCTTCTAACCCTTGATTTTTGAGAACACCTATTACCCCTTCTCTCGTTCCTTTACAGTTTTTCGAAGGAGTGCACGCACACAAGACTATTCAGATCCTCTTCAATCTGCTGCTCAATGGGGAAATTAGTCTATCCGGTATTTGCGCTGGTGAATTGCTTGCCGACTTATGCTCTGAACCACAAGTAATGGCGCAGCTGAGCAGGTGAGCAATGCTGCCTTCATTTTGAATCAACTGGCTATTTGCTAATCAATGGTATTACCCATGCTCACGCATCTATACCACCACACGAAGTTCGCCCGATTTCATGTTCTCGATTTTTTATTGGGTCCGTTTTACTCACACTTATTGTCTTGCTCTCTTCAAGTCGTTACTGTTGTTGTATCATAACCTTCCAGCGTGCTCATGACTAATCCAATGTGTCAATGACCTTCACGCTTTGGGTCATGCTGATTACAGTAGCCAGTTTGCCTAGCTGTTTTTATAGACAATTACCATTAATATACAAAATGCAAACTTTTACTCATTTCCCTTTAGGCCTTTAGGTCAATCCCTCTTTTATTCGTGTTGGGGCATTATCACCTAGAAGCCTCTGCTGCTTTGTTGATTTCCACACAGACAGTGGTGACTGTCTTTCTCGAATCCCAAAGAGAGTGGATCTTTACGTGATTCGAGAGTTCGCGTGCCTATGCCATCCATTAAACCACACAAGGCGATGACTGCGTAAAAATATATGTCAGGTGTACGCCGTAACAGCGCTTCGCTGCCGTAAAAACACCAACAGTCGCACGTGGGCTGGGTACACCACGAGGGCACCCACCTCTACGCGGATTCGAACCCGCGCCGCAAGAGTACGAGACAAGCTCGTTACCTTTAGACTATGGGCTGACGTTACCTCTAGGCTACGGGCCGGTGACCGAGTGTTGTGAGAGCTACAGGTTGATCGGCTGTTAGACGTCAGACAGTTCCAATGCACTGGTCTCCCACTTTAGGGATAAGACTGGTGTGTCACTTTTTACGTGAGCATGACTTATTTTACGTACTGGTGCCAACTTCTCGCTGTTTCTTGGTTAGGTTTGTGGAACAAATGCTTTGGATGAAGACCGTTGTCATTCCTCGGCGTAAGTTTAAGCTCCACTCTAATATCCCAGTCCATACATGAGCGTGGCCAACTATTGTCATCTTTCCCCGGCCATTATATATATATATATATATATATATATATATATATATATATATATATATATATAATCAGCAGTCTATAAGATTGACATAGGGACAGCGAAAACCATAAAGCGGAAGTGATAAATACAGAGACTATAAATAAAAGGATGAGTGAAAAGTTTTTTGTTATTGAATCCTGTCTTTTTTCACACGCCGGTTTATTTTTTTTGTCTGTTTAACGTCTGCGATGTAAATCAAGAAAATCAGTGCGAACATTTGTACACATTTTCCAATGGGCCCGGTTCCGCGCCATCTCCGAAGGAGTTTCCTGTCAGCGGTGTTCTCCCTCTTTGATCCCCCAGCCCGGAAGACGCACAGGACCTTCGACATAAACTGAAAGTCGGCGCTTTAATCGTTTGTCACGAGGTGATAGGCCTAACACCGCGCGATTTCTTCCAGCTTGCTTTTGTGCGATCGAAGAGAGCGCGTCAGGGCAGCCGTTCGCATGACATGCGTAAAACGTGGCACAGCCATCTCATTTGGCCCATCAGTGCCAGTCTGTCAAGTGGAAGTCTCGTGTTACCCAAGACGCGACGTCTAGCATCATCGTTGCAAGCATGGTTCCATCCACTACACTCGAGCTATTCTCCGCAGACACCCATTGCCAAAGGCGGAACTCCGTCGCAAGTCATTCATACGAATCGGCCAAGACTCACTCCCATACAGCAACACCGCGCGAACACAGGCATTGTAGACCCTGCCCCTTATCAATAGTGAATCGTCACGGTGTCGCCACAACTGCCTCAAGTTCGCGAATGTCGAACGGGCTTTGGCAATGGGGAGGGCAATATCTTCTTCACTGCTACCATCAGCAGAGACACAGCTTCCCAGGTAAACAAAGTTGCCCAATTGTTCCAGCTGCGTACTTTGAAGAGTGAGCACTGGAGCAGGTGGATGCCAATCCAGGACCAGGACTTGACATTTCGTAGGAGCAAAGATCATTCCATATTTTAATGTTTCTATCGCCAAGCGGTTGGAACGGCTTGTGTGCTCTGTGCGTCATCACCAAGGCAATATCATCAGCATACTCTCAATCGGTCACGCGGTTACCAGGAAGAAGCTTTACATCAGAACCCCGAAAGCTCTTGAGAGCGTTTAAAACGACATCCTCGATTGGAAATATTTCGGTGTTGCTCCTCCCAACACTGGCACACCACGACCGCAGTTTCGTCCTGGTTTGGACTCATCAGGTGGCGATAGCCTAAGCTAGGATGGAACTCAGAGCAGCGGTTTCCTCAAATTCAACTTTGAATTCCTTTTCGCTGTACCAAGAGTTGCTCGCGGATCTCAGTAGCGTAGTGTTCAGGACCTTACCCCTTGAACCATTAGGCTCTGAATTTCAGCCCAGCTCAGGATATGGCCACCTGATGAGTCCAAACCAGAACGAAACCGCGTTCGTGATGTGTCAGTGTTGGGGGAAGCAACACCGAAATATTTCCATTTCGGATACGGTCCTCGCGAGCGAAATGACCGAGGTTTACCTCAAAGTGAATCGAGGTCTCAGTAGAGGTTGCCTGTCGCAACCCAACGACGCAGCGGTTTCCCCAAATTCAACTTTGACATCCTTGATTGCAAAATTGAAAAGAAACGGGGTCATGGGGCAACCCTATCTTATACCGCTAGTGACGGCAAAAGGTGTGGGGAGCTTACATTGCAATATAATGCTCGAAGGATGGCCATATACTTTTTGGGTACTCCATTCCTTTGTAAACAACGGCATAAAGCTGGACGATCGACGGAGTCGCAAGCGGCTCGGATATCCAGAAAGACAACGATAGTGGACTGGCGGTAAAGGTGATGCGTTTCAAAGAGTTGGCGGAGCGTAAACAAATGGTCTATACACCCTCGACCGGGGCGGAAACCAGCCTGTTCTGCACGGGAGCGCAATTCTCGAATCGGAGTTGGTCTGCGGAGTAGAATAGATGTTAACAGCTTGGAGGCAATGGACATTAGACTGATTCCTCCGTGGTTATCGCATAGGGTACGAACACCTTTCTTGAAGATTAGGACGATAATTGACTAGCCCCAAGCGGATGGAACTGTTTCTTCACACCAGATCTTAGATAACAGAGCTGTTAGCTGCTTGGCAGTTAGTTCGCACCCGAACTTGAATAGCTCTGGAGGAAGTCCGTCTGGGCCAGCAGACTTGAATTACTTCAATTGTCAGAGCCTAAGGCAGACAGCTTCAGGGAGTGGTTCGAATGAGACGTTCCAAGGCGCGCAACTAGGTATACTCATTAGGCTCGGCGGCGGAGGCCAGCTGAATTGAGTGCGGATATGTTCAACCCAGCGGTCCATGCGCCTGTATAAGTTGCTTATCTGCGTTCCGTCAACCTCGCAAATGACCTCACTAACACCAGGTCTTTTGTGACCAGTGGCCCGAATGACCTGAAAGAGCTTGCGAAAGTTTCCAGAGCGGGCTGCCGTTTCCATCTCAGGCGCGTTGGGACCAGCAAGTTTCACGATCAGCAAGCATGCTTTGCTAAAGTTGTTGGCTGAGAATGCGACGCAATGCACTGCTATTTGAATCGGTCGGGATAGGTCTGCGACGATTAACCAATTCCAGTGAATGTGCGGAAATCCAGCCCTTGTGATTCCGCAGATTGAAGGACTGGAAGCTAGCATCACGCAGATGGAGCACTAATGAGTGCATGCGATAAGAAAGCTTGATAAGGTGATCGAGTAGAGAAGTCAGTTAACCTGTTGGTATCGAGTGTATGGTGAGTTCATTTTGTGCAAGCGCCGATGCGCATGGAAATGTCCGCGCAGACCAAAGCATGATCTGAATCGAGGTACGTAGACCAAATCGATCTAAAACTCTGGAAGCTTCCTCGCCATCTAAAACTGATTGCAATGTGATCTATTTGTGAACACGCTAGCGTTCGTGAAGGAGGACGCCAGGTGACTGAACGTCATCTGATACGCTTGGAGTTCGTACTTGAGAGAGAGACGGTGATCTTCGCATAACGTATCGTTGTCAGAACGGCTCTCATCAAGCGCTTGACTGCCACCAAGATGACGTCCGCATGGCCATTACGCAGTTTCGAATGAGTCGTCTTATCCATTGCAAAAATGGGAGGACATATAAACCCTTTCAGATCCTTCAGGGATAACCGGTTAATTCAGTAAAGTCAAATTAGCAAAAGCAAGCACAGGTTTGACCAACAGAGCGTCTTGATGTTATACTTATTGTCGACTTCCCTAAAAAACGATAATTTTGCGCCAGTAAGTTTCCCCCATGGACTCGGTTAAATGAACGACGAAGAACGTCGGCCATTCAGCGGAGCCGCATAGGCAATCAACTACGCATGCTGAGTCTAACGATGGAACCTATTAGTTTCGCTTCCTTTTGGCTAAATGGTCCATCCCTTTGGGTTCATCGGCTTATTACGATTGGACACTCCAATCACAACTTGTTGATATGAAGATACATTTAACCACCTGGTAAGTGTACTATTACTCGTCTAGACCGACTGGGTGATATTTGTGATTACAATGGATATAACTGTCTGTAAGCCACCTGAGTTTCCCAGTAGTTAACTTAGTTACGATTTTCTTGAATAATTCCGAGCGAACTGGTAATGTAGAGGATCTGTTGCAACTGTGCAATGCTCATAAACTGTTTCTAAGCTGCATATGTAGAGTCTATATCCATAGACCCTTCATATCGTTGCAATCATTTCAACAAATTTGTCCCGTGTGCTGTTAACAACTAATCGTCGCCCCTATTGCATATATTTCTCCACCCTGAGCGGCTTATCTTTCAGTCCAATGCTTGTGTTGTCTCTTCATTCGATTTCGCCATACAAATTATCTCACTTCCTTTAGCTTTTAGTGTCATTAAAGCGGTAACTTTAACTGCGCTACTCATCGAACTTCAATGGTGGAGCGTGCACACCGGATACAATATCTCAAACGGCCGTGCTGATTCTTGGCCTTTTTTTCCTGTTTACTTCGCACACTTTAAAACCGCGGAACTTGTGTAGATCGATTGTGGGTTGATAAGCGATGCACTGTGCTCATGGTGTCCAGGCCTTCTTGTCTCAACTGGTTTACTTAATGTATGGTTGATTTTCTGAAGAAGATGTTCACCGGCCACGTGACCGAGTTTGCTTGACCTCTAGCTGATCTACCGATCTGCTGCTTGTTTCCTCAGTGACGCCGGAAATGGATTACCAGGTGTGCCATTTCATGACGGGACGTAAACCTCTTTGCTGCGAGAACCAGGTTTATCGAATCGTAACACTGTAGGCTTCATTGAGTGAATCATACAAGTTGCTGGTCTCATGTTTCCCTTTGAAACATGACCATAGATTGTTCCGAATCCTCCACATGCTCTTTTGTCAGAGTTTCATTCAAAAATTATCTGCCTCTGGGTCTGGCACTTATCCTTCCCAGTTATGTCATTCACGTATGTAATATCTACCTTTTATCTTGATGCATCCTCATGTACTCATTTGCACTTTCCTTGCCAGCTTTCCAGGCTTGAAGAGCTGTTTACGCGAAGCCGTCGTTCAGTTACGAGCCAAGGACTCTGAACTGGTCCTAAAGGTAAATCCCTCTTATTCTTCTGATAGTCTCAATTTGTTTGCGAAGAATAGTGCGCATCAATAGTTTCGAGTCACCGGTTCGAATCGTTCAGGGCGTTGAATTGTCACAACTTTGTCGGGCTTTCTCTGCAACCGGTTTGGTTTTCTCCCGCCAATTCTTAATCGATTATTGACATCCTACACACACGCGACATTGTGAGGTGCATAGACCAACTCAAACTCAGTCCGCGGAATTGTGCTCTACAAGTTCCCTCCGATCCATACCTGTCCGCACGCACCACTTTTCGTCTTGTTTTTCACATTTGCACGTACATATGTGACACAAATTATATGCTCGCATTGTTTCAAAGAGGAAACCAAGTAGCGTTTTGCATTTGCAATATTAGAACGCCATATATGCTATGCGCGGATGGCAAATATCAGCCACCTGAAAGTAAACCTAAAAGATCCGATGTCGTTGTCCTTGTCAGAGACTTCAGTGCACGGGTCTGCTGTCATGCGAACGTCATCCTGGTGGCCGTTATGTCCTTGGTGGGGGTCACTCTAAAAACGCAGATAGACTTCTCACGCTCCGCTTTGTGCTGACCTCTACATGAGCTTTGGAAGCTCCTCAAAACCAAAGCACCGTACACTGGATACCGACAGACTATCTGACCACTCCATTCAACTGGATTGTCAATCAGAGGCCTTCGCAAGTCCTCCACCTTAATATGTTGGACATCACCTAAGTTTCTTGCGTGAGGAGCTGCTTTCTTCCGGTCAGTCATTCTATGGAATCACTGGGCGCCTGTTGAAAAGCCGGATTTCTGCTCGCTCTCTGGAATTGTTTGACCGTTGGCGAGCTATCCCGGTTGACCCAAGCAGCAGTGAAGTCTGCCGCTACCTCAGCGAAATCAAGCAGAGCGTATGTCACGATCGCGGACGCCGCCAATGAGCAGCTTCTAGCACCGCTTTGTGAAACAACCCTAATTGGTGACGTCAAACAGGTTGCACACAAACGGCTGCTCACGGTAATCCAATCAACGAACGATATCTCAGCATTTTAGTTGAGAAACGATGCCCACTTCAGCTTGACAAGTGATTGCCGCATCAACGTCTCCGGATGCGTGTAACCAACAGTGAGGTGACAAGTCAGTTTAAAACCCCCTAAGGATCATTGATCCTAATTTTGGACCCGAAACACGTTGATACACAAGGTGTCCAACGTGCGTGCGAGTGCAGCCTGTTGTGCAAGTTAAACACCACCAGGGACACGGGAGAGTGTGGTTTTATATGGGGTTTTTGTCGATAAGCATCCACTGGGTGGTGCAGGAAGATAGTGGCCTCGGTTGAGGCCTCTCGGCTCCATGGTTGGGGCCAGTACGAGGAAGAACACGTTTGGTCGAACACACTTGTTGATATGCCTAGGAACTGACCTCATTTGCCTTTGTGTTGTGAGTTTCGTTATCCCTCCCGCTTAGCTTATCCCTCTCAACCACGATCTCATTTCTGACGCATACTATTTATTGCGAAAGATTAGCCGGCTGCTTGCTCTGTGGAACCCAATCCATCCATTATTGGTGGCTCAGCTGGCGTGTCTGTGTTACGTCTTGTGTTCTTTCTCATGTAATGCTACAAATAGCTGAAGTCTTTCCCACCTCTAGTTAACAATTATGCGAAAGATAGCTGCAGATAGTAGAACTGCAGTAGCATTGCGTCTACTGTCAGTTACGCTGGGAATTATAGAAGGGAGGTTAGTAATAGGGGTCAGGAAGGGAAAACAGTTGGAAAAGAAAGGAGGCGCTGGCAATAGCATGTTTGCGCTTATCCACCCTGCTGTATGCAGCAGATAAGGTGACCCTTGATAATCTGCGCGACGGTCGATGCAGGATGAGGTTTATGTTTGAAGTAAAAGTCATGGTTGTATGTGGGCTGAGATACTGTTAAGACGCCCGGATCTAGACAGGAGAATGAACAGAGTCTTCAAACCCTTTGGCTCAAAAGCCTGTCCGCAGGGCAACGGGGAGGTGTCAGTCATTCAGTATTACAGAAATGGACGCCATCCCATCGCTGACTCCCGACCTCGAGGATCATGAGCCTGAGTTCGCCTGACCTGTAACTATTGACCAACTTGGTAGTAGTAGCTGTCCAAGGGACTTGAGGGCCCCACCCAATATGGCTCAATGGTTCGACGAACTACGCGAACTGTCACACCACGTTAAAGTCTGGTCTCCTTGCGACGGACCAGAAGAGCAAGGTTTATTTGCAGACAGCTTGTTTTACAACTGGATGTAAAGCAACCAGTGTGATTCACTGAGTAAGGTCCTAAGAACGATGAACACGTTTGGTTGAACACACTTGCTGATATGTCGAAGAGCCGGCCCCAATTGTGTTTGTGAGTTTTTTTGTCCATCACTCTCCCTTTGGGTTCCTCCTCCAATCCCGATCTCATACGAAACGCAAAGTGTAAGCTTTAACATCATATTTTTTGTGGTGTAATTTTTTAGTCTCTTATCTTTTTGTTTTCCGCACATTAGCTGAGGTGTGTTTCTCACCTTCAGCTAACGTGTACTGATGATGATGCGAATTACTAAACTCTATCCATCCTCAAGACTGTTTCTTTTATGGCATCTCTGGTGAGCTCTGTTTAAATCATTTGGCTAGCTTTTTGTTTCAGTTGCTTTTGAACAGTCAACCCCATGTGTTACGTAATCACGGCAACTTTCCTTACGATCACTTGCACCTTTCTCTTCTCTACACAGCACATTAAATGACCCATGTTCACCCTTTGACTTACGTGTCTCTCCGTTAGCTTTTGCACTTGCTTCGTTGTTTGTTGATGAACAAAACGGATCACGACGTTGTTCACCTCCTTCGGACCATGTTCTTCGAGTCTTGGGGCACATCGGGAGCCAGTAAAGGCAAAGAAGATGTTAGTGGTGATGATTCGCTGCGGCCGCTCAACACTTTATTCGCTTTGGCCTCCGCATCTGACGATCTGGTTGCGTCCGCTGCTCTGGACTTTATTCTACGATTGATAGATACAGGAAAGGTTTGTTGACCACCAGTGGGCTTAATTTATTTAATGAGAATAACACGTTAGTTCTGCGTTTACATCACGGTTGTCCTCCACTTGGCGATCTGTTGCACCGAGTAGGCGCCGCTATATTTCAGTGCATTTACCTCTGTGCTTTTCTTTCCAACCCATATATTGTACGGGCGAGGATAAGCTCCTTGCCTCTTGCCTAACAACCTAGCTGACGCGTACTACTGTAGCGTTGATACTCTGTACCGTGGATCTTGACCAAACAATCGCGTTCACTGCAGGGTTCGGATGATCTCGGCGCACGCTGCGCATCGCTTGCAATATCGCCTTCCCTTTTCCATACTAAGGCAGTCGCCTATAGGATAGAAATGATATTTTTCCAACACTGGTTGCGATAACTAAATACCTTGGTTACTCATTGTGTGACCATACATTCCACATTGCGATAGTTCTGCGGCCGCACACCCTCCGTATCTTCTCACGCTTGTTCTATCTGTCCGATTTTAATGTCTTTTTTCACTTGTGAGTGCGTCACCTGCCGTGTTTTTTCGGCTCTCAACATCACCTTTGATTCTGTTCCTTGTCAGTCGGAAGCTTAGTGCGCGTAGCTTTCCCATTAAACACAGCGCCTGACGCCACATAATCACCTTTAACCGTCTTGTTAGACTAAGGTGCCGAATTTCTACGACCATCTAACGTCTATCAATGCGGGGCACATTTGCCCAAGTTATTCGCCCTTTTACGGCCCTACAGATTATTTTGTCGCGTTGGTCACAGAGGAAGTAGAGGTCATCGTTGTGAAGTTATCGTAGTAATCGCTATTATTTTCATTTTAGTGCCTTCAAAGTCACTGTTGATTTGTCTGGTGACCTGCATAGTACGGCATTCAAGGTACTCTTCTTCCTCAGATTGCTGGATGATTACTCTGTTGAGTGCAGCGGTGTGTTGAACGCCTTCGACAGCTTCGCCCGAGCAAGGGGTTCTATTGCGAAGGACGGGGACCAGGCACAATTCTTTTGGTCACGTGGTGGACGCCTGCTCTGTGAACTCAACTTGTCTTGTTACTGTTGTATTGTTCGATCCATTAGTATATCAACGTTCAGTTTTGTTGGTCTTATAAGGTGCGATAGACTAAGCTAACTTATGGCCCTCTTTCAGCTATTTTCATATTTGTTGTGTGGGTTGACATGTTCCATGTGCCGTCGGCTGGATGAGGCCTGTAACTAATCTGAAATGGTAAGAAAAGTTAGCATAGCCAACCTCCCACAACCGAAGGACGCGCGACCTAAAATTCATCGCTATATCCGTTCGAGCTTCATGGCGTTCGAACATGCAACCCACCCTCTTTGTGGTTGTGGTTCAGACCAATGGGTCCTGCTAACCGACGGCTTCAGTCGACATAACTCACTTGCAAGCTATAACTTAGCATGCCTCTTCCCCCATTGCCATACGCATGACTGTCCCCTAACTTCATCGAGCCGTTTGCTGCTATCACCTTGAAGAAACGTGTATCGATCTTCCACATTCATTGCGTTTTTGCCTTTCATAGGGAGGCGAGATCTTTCAGAAGAAAAACACACCTACCTCATCCACAATCCTTGAATGGCTTTTGGATTTAGCGCTCACTGGCCTCCGAAAGATTTGCGGCGCTGGTTGTGCTTCCTTCAGGCAGCTGCAAGATGCCACCAACAATGATCACTCTCTCCTTTCCTCAAAATTATTACGCTTGACTCTGTTTATTCGATTACTGGATTCCGTCCTCATGTGCATTCAAGAAAACCAAAGAGGTGACAGCGTTCTGAGTGGTTCAGAACAAAACATCCTGGACCACTGCTGCTGCATGATGGAACTTCTTTTTAAAATGATATTGGGTCATTTCGAAGGCAATCCACTTATTGTAGCCCTGACCTCAGGAGCACAATCGAAAGTGGACTCTCCTGAACCAAGATCCTACAAAGCTGACCTAGATTCATGGTGGGTATCAGGTTTCTCCAGTCGATCCCCATTACTGTCCGAACCAATATGCACTTAAGCTTACAACATAATGTTAACGTTTTACTGAGCAAATGATTTCACCACCGTAATATTCTTTTGCAGCCTACTTTCGGCGGATGTGGCCATCGAAGCAATGGGCCTCGCGTACACATGCGTTGAGGTATTAACTGCGTTTGCTCCTGGTGCCTCTCAAGACGATGATGAAGTGTCCCTCACTCAGCCACGAGTTTCTGGAGCTGGCGAAGCAACTCCTAGGCCGTCACAAGAATCGGTCAGAAAATGTGGTCAGTCTTTACAAGAGCTCCTTGAGTGTCCAGAAACGCCTGGTTTGCTCGCGTTAGGTTTACTTACTTCGTCGGATGCGGATGCGGCTGCTTTAGACCCCCACGCGCTTGGTATGGGTCAGGCAACACGAACAGCTGTTGTTCGATTATTGTCCGCTGCACTCCACTTGGACGGGTTCGATAACACAAAGTGAGTGCACGTTTACTTCATCCTCTATTACCACATACCGTATGTGCAGTAGTAGTCGATCCGTGCTTTCTTTTCAGATTCGCTTCCCAACTCACACGTTTGCAGGCAGCGAACAAGAACCGGAACCATTTGCTGGATTCATTTTATAGTGATTCGACAGAGGACTCTCGATTGAGCTTCTCCTTTCTTTCTCAGTGGCTTCGTTTGTCCGCTGGTGGCGGACTGCACTGTGTCCAATCGAGTCGGTGCACTCCCGCTGGTGCATTTGACTCACCTCAACGTACGTCTCTCGTTCAGGGGGAATTTGGACGCTTAGAACGAAAGGTTGACAAGTTCTTGAGTGAAAGAGAAGCACAAATGGATAAAGAGGTATAACTTTTTGCTCACTCTTTCAGCGCCTCAGCTACATCTCACTTTCAGACATTACTGTTATCATTGCCATAGTTATTAGCTAACAGCAATCACTACTTCGCAATGAAGCTTCGCTAGTTTGTAAAGATTAATGCGCGCAATGAAATCTATGATCCTCATCAAAACTCAACTGCAGGCAGCATGTTCTTGGAAGTGGTCCACAAGACGGACACATTTTTTGGGAATGGGTCCCAGTGTAATTCCAGCCTTAGTAACCTTGGGATTGAGTTTGTCTGACGTGTAACCGATCTCACATCTTATATGAGTGGTTCAGAAAAGTTCGAAAACAATCAATTGATTGTTTCCAGACTTCTTTGAACTTGTGACTCCTTATTCGGTTCCAAGCGTAACAAGAGCCAAGCGCAATTCGGCTTCAACATCAGTATCCATGTGCGCAAAAATTTTCCATGTCCTCCGAATTTCCTGGCCGCGTCGTCTAACGATGGCGATCGTGCTTTATAACCTGAACTTAATCCGTGCAATCACATAGTTTTGTTAAGTAAATAGTGCTCAACCATTCTTGTTTGTTATAATTTCTTTCTCTCATGTTTGGGGGAACTACTGAAATCAAACTTGTTTGCCAACTTTTGTTTCCAACTGCTTCCTGTGCATTGATCCGTATGCCACTTGTCACTTGTTGATCACCTACTATGTGAAAAGCGCTACACATGCACCAGTGGTCCACGGTAGGCGGTCTTTTCGTTAAACCGGTTTCTAAGCGTGCCTCTGACTCGTGCAGTGATCTTGGATACACAGAAGCGATGCACTGTCAACTTGTAGTCAGTAAACCAACTTCATAACGTCCCTACAACTGCACTGCCAAGAATTACGTGCCGAAGCATACCGTAGTGAGAAGTACTTGGTAACCCTGATTTAACTGTAAGGTACACCTATGCCTAAATGTTCTCTCTGTGGTTAGAATGTAGCTCAGTTCCGAATCTGCATAGGTCCAATAATTATAGTGCTCAATAAGTAGTGATCGCTCTCTCAAGTTGCTACCGTTCTCCTAACTATTCCCTGACATTTACCTACATTCTATCAATCTTTGTTTTTAGCGAACTGCGGATCCCTCGGATGTTATCTCAGTTTTTGAGTTCAAAATCAAGCTGCTTCAGGTTAGCCTGCTCATGTGTTCTTCCTGTCATTCACACTTTCGGGATGTCGGTCCATCAGAACCGACATCAGATATCCGTTCGCAACAATAGGATGGTGCCCCACTTCACACGTCTCATTTGGTTCTACGTGTAAGCCATGGATTGACACAAGCACCCATTCTGTGTGTTTGTATTGCATCACACAAGCATAACTTTAGACACAACTTGCCTCGATCCTTCCGATCACTATGATTGCATCAGAAGTAGAAAGTTGTTTATTTTGTTTTCTGTTATGCATTCACCAGGTTGGCATCATGTTTGAGTCGCATTACATAATCGTGATTTATTCTGAGAGATGCGCATTACGCTGAACGGTACAAGTAGACCCATCCGAAAAATGCTCCAGCACACTGGCATTTAGAGACGAATTAGATGGCACACTTTCGTTGATTACGTTTCTTCTACCTATTTCGCACAACTGCACAACAAATGTTCTGCGAAAATTCGTCCATTCTCGAAAGTATGCTGAGAGAAATAGATCTGTAAATAGTCATACTGTCAGCCAAGTGACCTACCTCTTTTCTAGTCGTATTTTCCTATCCTATATCTGCTACTGCTATCGTGAGATTACTTTCAGATTTCCATTCACATCCATCAAGTCTGAGTGATATTTTGAACCTCTAAGCTATTAGCTATAGTTAGTTTGGGCCGTTTCCAGTAACTCTGGACCATCACGTTCGAAATCAGGCACATGGCATGCAACTTTGTAGCCACGTTTTCGCACTGTTGTATTTTTTATTCCTCGCGCGCGACTGATCGCGCCGGTCCGCGTATTTACAGCCGAATATCTACTCTCCTGCATGATCCTTATTGAGTTGACACTGCGCATGTAGTTCTGTAATGTGCGAAAAGCTGTTAAGATCCCCACTCATTTCTCAAGTCTTTCCTCACGGAGCGTCCGGACCTATTGTCGGAATCTCGTTGCTGCCCGTGCTCCATCGACTCATAGGCGTTTAGCCACCATTGATCTCGAATGCTGCTTGTTTACCAAGCTGCTCTTAGTGCGTAGCCAACGCTGTCACGGTTCACGGTAATCACTTGATAGTATTTGCTTCCGTTCATCTGCTGTTTGTTTATGGTCTTATCCGAAAGTATTCCGGTTGTCGGCTGCGTGTTCACTATTTTTGCAACTACCCTACAAAACGGTTGTGAAGATTTTCACCAGAATACGCTCACCATCACCGCATGATGATGAGACTCAATGTTGCTGCAGCATTCTTGACTGTCCTATTTGGTCTAATTTGCCATGACCCGCTCCACTTTTCTCGTTCTTACGTCAATCTGAAGCTAAACGCAGGTGTGTCCTTAGTACTAGATTATGTCCGGTGCGATGTCGTCATTTTCGCTCTTTCGCATTCTATTGGTGTTCACCCTTACATTTCACACTTACCTCTCTTTTCTTCCTTGCTTCACATCCCACCGAACTCACTGAATAAGGAGATGAGGTAGTTGGCGTGACAGACATTTTCTTCGAGTTCTTTTCGATAATGAATAATTGGTCTCGTGTTTTGCGCGTAACAAACCATGCATCTAGTCCCTCACATCCTCTCTGATACTTGTACATTCTTTCCTATATCTGTTTGGTGATCCGCGGTGGTTCATATGTTAACAGAATCGCGAGGATGCCTTAGAAGCCAGCGCATCCGCGAACGCTGAAGCTTTATCTCAATCGAATCGCTTGTGCCAACATTATCGTGAGCGTGCAATCGTGGCCGAGGCAGAATCAAAACAACTAAGAATCTTGCAGCTTGATGCTGTGGCTCGAATGGAAGTCGACGGACGCTCTCTGAAATCGTTGCGCGACAACTTGAAAAAGTAAGTCACCAGTGGGTTGAGGCATAGGTGCACCCTATCAACGAATGTCAGCTGACGTTCTTGTTGGGTTTTAGACATGTTAACGAAATCAATGAACTCCGTGAAAAGTTATCGCATAAACAACAGGAGTGTCAAGGTGAGTCACTTTGCCAGACCGCGACTACTTGTCTATTCATTGTTGCTTCAATCATTCTTGTTTCTACTTTCTTCTGTGAAAAACATCCCCACTTAAATTCATCTATCTTCAATGCTATATGGATGTATCTGCTCGGTCGACGCTGTTCCAGACGTGCCTTACGGTTTCCTCCTCTTGCTACTCTACGTAATTCATCCATTCGTTTGAGAGGCATTTACGGTTGGAGTTGCAGTCACAAAGGAATACATAGGGTTATGTTCACTACATTAGTTAACTTTGATATTGCTTGTTGACTAATGCGTAGGAACTTATGTGATGTCTGTTCCATTTCGCCGTATGAAGTCATACACTAGAAGTGATTTATCCTATTCACTGCATGAAGCTGTTTGCTGGCGATATGTCGACACACAGGGTGATTATGCAGAGAGGTGCCTGCGGTTCAGGTGATTTTCAATAGGCCTCGTTTGCGACAGTCGATTCGTCTAAACCAGTGACATTACATTAAAATCAAGTCATTATGACCCAAGGTTCCCGGTGGAATCCCCTTAGTCAACACTTCCTCCGCCTGGGAAACCGGGAAGCATCATGCCCACAATTTATGGATCAGTGTTTCAACGACTATTAGCCCGCTCTCTCTCTCTCGGCCGAAGTGCTGGCGTCCGAACATGCTATATCGCGTTCTACCGCACCACTGTTCAATTACTTTATTCCGCGTCTGTTCAACTCCACCATCCTTGGTAATCCCCCTCCCTTTCCGAGTCCACAGTACCGTGCCGTCTTAGGAGATGGTTTTCACATCAGGAACTTAAGTCCAAGAGTACGCCGAAAAGCAAGTCCTTTTTAGCGCCCCCTTCCCAATTCAAATTGGCAACCTTCAACATTCGGACGTTGATGCAGACCGGATCACAAGCAGCTATTATTCGCGAGCTTGGGACTACTGCCATCGATATCTGCCGCTTCTATGAAACCCGATTACAGGACCTCACTATGGCGCTACGACTGATTTTACCGTCTGCGGGTTCCACGTGCATCTTCAAATTGCGTTTGTCTGGAGACACAACCGTTGAAGTTGCTGGTCGTGCTGGCGTAGGAATTGCGAGCGCACGTGCTGAGGCCGCGATACTAGACTGGATCTCTGTCAACAGTCGACTGCGCGATCCAGCTTGTAACCTCAGTGGGACTGTCCAGCCGCCAACAGACGTTCGTTATAACAGTGTACTCTCTCACAGACTGCAGACCCGAGTCAGCTACAGACGAGTTCTACTGTGAACTCTTCGACTTTCCCCGAAAAAGTGCCGGGGATTTAAACGCGCAAGTCGGCAGACTTGAGACTGATGAGCGTGAATTTGGTGAGCAACGTGGACCTGCAGACCAAACAACTTCAGCTCTGCGCCGATCACGGTCACTTCCTGTGGAGTATTAGCTTTTGCCGATCCTGGCGCCAGCGCGCCACTTGGTGGTCCCATCACCTGACCAGCTATGGACGCAGATTGATCACATCGCTATTATTTATCGCCGGCGGGAATGCATACAGGATTGCAAATCGATCCGGAGTACTCACATGGGACCATGCGCTTTAAGTTTTGAGGGCTACCAACAGCGTCGCTGGAAACGTCTTAACTTGCCCAAGCTTTCTACCCCAAGCGTTCTGAGCGCCTTCCAGGACGCGTTAGCCTCAAATTTCAAAAGCACCTCACGCTCTGACACTGAAACGCACTGGGCACAAATCCAACAACAACCGGACCTCAGACACTTGAATTGATGTTTCGCTGCCATAAAACCGTGATGACCTGTGGAATAAAGAATAGTAAGAGAGAGAGAAAGCGGACTTACCGGAAAACCTTCATCTCTAAGCAACCATTCAGGGTCAAGGCGCATACACCTTGTGTTAACAACACCGCCATTATCAGCTGGCTATCGTGCAAAGATAAGGCGGTATCAGCGAGACAGCTTCATTGCGGCTTGCACTGCCACGCGTCATAATCAGCCATTACACCGCAGATAATTCGTCACAAAAGCACTTGAAACAGGCAATCCGACTAGGAGACGGCAACAAACGCGCCATTGGTGCCGACTGCGAGCCATGTCCTGTAAACTCTCGAGCTAAGCACAAGACGAGTCACGTAGACTCTAGCCCGGAAGGCGAGACGGACCAACGGCACCCAATTTCGTCGTTAGTGACTTCATTTCCCACTACCAAATCAACTTTTGTCCGTCTTGAACCTTGCGCCACCCTATATCTGGCAGAATAAACAACCCCCTCCTAAATAAGCGATGGCCAGGCATACGTAGTACGTGCCCGAGACAACACAACTTATTCAGTGCTATCTGTTGTTGATTATCACTACCTAGTACTCACCTACGCACATCATCGTTGCGGACACGCCGGTGCCACCAGACACCACAGACAACGATAATCAAAAACTTGAAGACGCCTCAGATCATCAAAAAGAAGGGACCGTCTCACTCCCATAGAGTAGGACGGCCCTCACTGTGGCCTTGTAAATACGGCCTTTCAGACGGAGAGAAACTCCCTTCTGTTGCCAAAGATGCCGCAGATTCAAGAAGGCGGTTCTGGCTTTTGCGATGCATGGACTGACTTCAGTTTCTATGCACCCATCGTTGCTGATGCAGCTACCAAGTGAATCAATCAACCATCTCGAGTTCCTCGTTATCAAGGGTCGGGGGGTCATCAAGTGACTGACGGTCCTGCAACAACACTTTGCACTTTGAAGGTGCAAAGCGTATAGCAAATTATGGGACTACGATAGATAGGCTATTCAAGGTTGATTGTGCCGCCGCAACATCGTCGAAAGTCAAGACGATATCGTCTGCATAATCCAGATCAATTAACCTTTCATCAGACAGGACCTCAACGCCTAGATCGTGTAATTCCGGGAGGGACACTCAATGATAGGGTCCACAACGAAATTGAACAGAAAGGGAGAAATCTAACAACCCTGATAAACGCCACTTGTGGTCGGAAAGCTATCCGATAGACCACCGTAGACCCTGACGCGGCCTGTAGTGTTCGAGTATAGAGCACGTAGGATATTCACATATTCCGTGGGAACACCTTTGCGCGCATGTATTTCGATCTACTGTATCGAACTCACACTTGTAGTCGAGGAACACAGCTATTCTCGGTCTACGGTATGCATGGCACCGCTCTAGAACATGACGCAGAGTGAATGTATGGTCTATACAGCCAAATCATGGGTGGAAATCGGTCTGCTCTCTTCCAATCCGAATTTTTCGTTCCACATTGAGGAGACGAACGATAGTCGAGGCCAGTACTTTGTCATAAATGGCGTTACGCTAATATCCCTGTGGTTAGCACAGTCTGTGTGACTGACCTTTTTGTATATCGCCATTATAATCGAAACCTTTCAGTTAGCCGGAACATTCTTTTCCTTCCAGATATGTTCGAATAGTGAGGTCAATGCTTTGCAAAGAATCTCACCTCCATCCTTGAATAGTGCAGGTGGGAGGAAATCCGAGCCAGCGGCAGGAAAACGATTGTGGGCTCTGATCGCGTTTCGGACCTAGACTTCCGATAGACGCTCTAAACTAACCCCCCCCCCCCCATGGCTCGTCCGGCATCACCTGAGTAAGGAGAGGTCCGGGAGCAGGGGGCCAACTGAATTGGTTTTGAAAGTGTTCCGCCCAACGAGTCATACGGCGCTCCTTATTGTGTATCAGTGCACACGCGCTGTCTCTGATTGTCTTAATGACTGGTGGTGCAGATCAGCTGGAAGAGTTTGCGGTAATTGCCTAATGCTCCTGCCTCTATTTCCTGAGCGCGACTGGTCCACTAGGCTTCCTTGTCAACACGCAGGCTCCGCTTTAGTTCGCGCTTAATAGTCTGTCTGCTCACGTTATGCTCAGACCCAGCGGAAGTTTTCTTCTGGATTCCAACAGGTGACTTCTCGGATATCCACTGACTGGTGCGTTGACGATTGATGGTGCCACAAGCAGGTGCTCCTGCGTCGTGTATGGCGGCCGATATCCTATTCTACTGAAGCTCAGCAAAAATTGGGTATGCAGTGCGTCCTCATAGGCTTGCCTAACAATTTCTCAGGTGTCACTGGGGGAGGCGCTTGGTGCTATTTCCATTAAAGTTCATGGAAAAACGACAGCGTACCAAGGTATGATCAGAGTTGACGCAGGTATTCCAGAACGAGCGGCAATCCAGGATGGAATCACGCCACGTGTAATGTGATCAATTTGGGTCCATCGCTGGACAGCTATAGGAGGACGCCAAGTGGCACTTTATTGTCCACTGTGTCTAAAAGCAGTGCTACTAGGAAACAACTGGTGCTCCGCACACAATTGCAGCAGAGCTCGCTGTTGTCAGTCCGTTCGGAGTTAAGCCCATCCGCAGCACAATGAACAAATTTATGACCCTGGTCTGACTTCACCATTAGTGCTGTCAGCCACTGGATCTCTGCACGATCCCTCCAGCTTCTCGAGCAATTTCTGTCGGCGTTGGGTACCATTCACAGCACAGGATTATCAACGTTGAACTCAATCGGCTCCTGCGAGAGGATCGCGAGACCAGGTGGACGCAACGGGTCATTGAGATGGAGCAAGCGGCCACCTCGGGGACTTTCCAAAAACCCTTCCGTTTGATCCGATCTACTGGGTGCAAATTCCCACTGTAAGCGTTTTTTGAGAAATCAATGACAAGGCAATACAGTGCAAATTCAGTCAACCTGTGGGTTGGACCGAGCATTTTGAACAGCAGTCTAACTGGTCAGAAGCTTCGGCGAGTATTCACTTAGGAGTCCTTAGTGCTGTCTGGTGTGTATTCGCTTCACCACCATCTAAGGCTGAGGTTGCCTAGGAATTTCGTCTCCTGAAGCGCTACAAAGCCCCTGGCTGAGACGAACTCTCTCTCTAACTTTTTTCAAAAATGGAGACCCATCCCTTGTACCGGAGTTAACTTCCCTCCTCCAAGAAGTTTGGCTCAATGAAACAATCCCGTCTGATTGGAGCCTAGTGGATTCGTGCCCGTTTTCAAAAACGGTGCGCGGACAGTGCGCTAACCACGGAGGGATTAGTCTCATCTCTGTTTCATCTAAAGTGCTCGCCGCTCTGCTTTTAAGGTGGATCATCCTTGTACCCGAACAGAACATACGCGAAGAGCAAGCTGGGTTCCGCTCCGGCCGGAGTTACATCGAGCACATCTTTGCGCACTTGGTTGCAGTTGGCCTGTACGCGCGCCTGCTTGTTGAATCTCCTGCATTTCAGCGTTTGGTTGTTGATTGATATCCCCGGTGTGGCTGCACTTGATGTGAATGTCTATTATCCTTCACCACTATTACCGGCTCCAGGAGACCGTGAAACGTTGCTGCGAGGACAGGTGCACAGACCTCGTAACAGTGCTAGGCTCAAAGATTGGTTCCATACCATGGAGTGTTGCGCGGGCTCCGGCCGAACCACCCTGTGTACGTCTGGTACGCATGATTCCCAACTTAGGCATAAATGCTGCTGCTGTGCATGTTGAAGGAGTGCGGTCCGCCTCCGTTGATGAAATGTGGCTCGCATCCACATGCTTCCCGGTTTTATTCCTTCGGGTTTACACTGGATATGGGGTGTGTGGATGGAGCCATGCGTTGTGCAGCGCAAGCCACCCATGGTCCCTCATGTAGGCGCAGTCGTCCTGTGACCGTTCTGTGGAGTGACAGGCAAATCTGGGACCAGATGCCGCCAGCCCTATGTATTATCAGCGGGATAACTCACGGTGCGCTGGGGCTTATCGTCTCTAGATTCGGCAGTGAGCCGATAGCCATTCGGACTGTGGAAGGCCGGTTATTTCTTTTCCCCACCGTATATCTCTTAACTGACGTCCCCCTTAAAACGGGTCACATTTCTGTCATGGTGAATTTCGATTCAGGCGTCAGCTTGTTACTGCACAGTGCGAGGATGTGTGAGCCGATATCACGTGTTCTTGCCAGAGCTGGGAGTACATTATCGTTTGAGTCCGACCATACGATTTATCACTCTGGTTATTTGTCGACACAACATAATTTTCGCGTCGGCGTTAAGCCAACTTGAAGTCCGCATCCGTGGTTTTGATTCAACCAGTATATCTAGTGCATCTGTAGTTAGTCTGACGGTGTTATGGTCACCATGGTTCATCCGGGCCGCTCTGACTGGTTGTTCGAAAAAACCTGTCCGCCCCGATTGGCCGATGCGGTTTGATGGCCGCCAGACTCGGCAATTGCAATAGCACAGGCTACCGTTATTAGTGTTTCTCTTGTTCTTTATTTATGAATAATAATATTAGGTTATCCGAGAAACATTCGACTAATGCGATTATTCTACTGTATTCTGGTAAACGGTTGAATTTTGGTCCACTTCGGGTTCACTGATCCTTTCCTTAGGAAGTGTTCCTCGTAACAGACGGTCTTTAGCGTTACACATTAACGTCGCCAAATGACATTTCTTATAGTGTATAATACCTCGATGCTGTTGCTGATTGTTTAAGAGTTTTATCCGCTATCCTTTTGCCTGCCTTCCTTGAACGAAGATCTGGTGCTCAGTACAGAGAACTTGCAGAAAAAACTGAATGCAGCACGAGAACAAAACCGTGCTATGGATGCTACTATTGATGATTATCGAAGTCAGCTCGACCAAGCCAAGGAACAAATCCAAGCTCAATCGGCCCAGGTGAGCTGCCATGCTGTCGACATACGTGTATTGGCACTTCCTCCATCTATTTTTTACGATGTGGTCTTACACAATCTTAATTTGTTAGGGGCAAATCGTGGCAGTACAATCCGTTTTTCGAAACAGTAGTACCATTCTCCCATACAGGTACCAGGCTGTCCATACGCACGTCTTAGCCATTGTCCGAATTTCACTACTACAAGCGCGTGGGCTCAAAATATTCCCAAACTGCTCGAACGCCGACCAAATCCAGTCCATGAAAGTGTATTGTTCATGCACAACGGGGTTAATCCTATCTAACGACGCAAAGTCTGCATGATAACCCGTCACTATTGCATCCAAGTTGCTAAGGAACCGCTCTACAATCAATCAAGCATACATTTTTTCGACTACTCGAGTGATTGTGCTGACTGATCAGATTTTGCAAACCTCTACACGTTTTAATGATGAATTGACACGCAGGATATACTAACAATACGAAATAATGCGTTAGCTGTCATGCACTCCCAGAAGACAGCGAAAGTGAACTTTCGAGACCAGTTGTAAAACAAACGCAGTCTTTCTTCGAATGTTCGAATCTACCTTAGAAGATTCTTGCTATCCAATCGATGCTCGATTAGGGAAATGATTCTAAATTGGGTTAGTAGAATGTGTTTGTGATACAATACAAGTGAAATAAAAGCTACAGTTAAACCTATGGTGAATTCGCTCTCTCTGATACTTTGCGCGTAGAAAATGTTTACTGAGAACAGCGCCTAAGTGGTGATCAATCTAAATTTATTGGTCAAACGTAAGAAAGGCGAAGCGACTAAAGGCAAGAAATAATTGCCGATGAGAATTCCATATGGACTAGACTGCGTTATTTACCTGGCTGTATTAGTAATGAGTATATTCAGAAGAAGGAAGCGAAGTGGGATGTGGATTAGCAACGTTTCGGAACCAGTGAAAATAGGGGCAGAAATGTGATGCGCAATGATGCACGCAGGTCTCAATCGTGCATTGCTAATTTTTGAGTTTGATAAAAATCGTAAATGGTAGAACAGACAAACGTAGTACTCATTTGTTCGTTAAAAACCCACCCATATCTCGTGGGTGCGCAGTAGATCACCTTGATTAAAACGGGGAAAGTAAGGTTATCGCTTTCAGAGCCTTGGTTGCATGCGTGTCTTCACCTGCACGTCATCCGCCGTCGAGTTGGGTAAAAATCGAGAGAGAATGAATAGTTAGTCCTCATTTTTCCGGTCAACCGAGGTGTCCATGTCTTCATAAGCAGACAGTGGGTCGCCGCTCTGAGTAATATCAGGTGGAGACAGAACCGCAACTTCCAACGCTATCGTGGCGCATGCTGCATCCGATAAGTTTTTAGCCGTGAATCGTGTGCTCCTTTTTTACTACTCTCCATTTGAACTGCATTTCAGTGCAGTGGTCGTGGTGTTACTGCTGTGAGTGTTTCAGTTAAAAATAACCGTAACATTCCAATTTGTTGCAACGGTTAATCAGTCAAATCATTCTCACCAGCAACTGATGCGTTTCTTTCGCTAAACTGATTAGTTGCAATACAGTAAGCAGTATTGTGTCGAAAAGACAAGACTGGTCATAATCTGGCATTATTTTCACTCATCATCCGTTGCGGAAGTGTTATTTGGCACAACCAACGCTTATCGGACCACATGCATATAGACTAGACTGGTTTGCGTTAGTCACTACTTTCCAACTTTCTTCAAAGCCGTTCGTGCAAGAGGTCAATCCCCTTAACCGGAAGTTGGAGCGGGGTTGATAGCCATCTTCCACTAAAGCCCAGCTACGGGAACCAAGGAATTTTGAGATGAGTTTGATTAGCGCAGTGCATGAGCACTACGCATTGTCTCTGACAATGGGAGGGCACCCCCAGGCGCTCAATGATTTGCCTACAACCAGACAGCCCTTCGATTGCAAACATACCATGGCCCATCTGCAGTCGCCCGTGATCTCAGGTGTACAATTGTGGCATCCTTGTGGCTGCTACTGCTGTGCCCTTCCTAATGGCTATCAACACTGGCCAAGCTTGTCCGTCTGCTGACCAACTGATTAATCTAGTCAGAACACATGATCGACACGTTGTACAAGACCGGTTAGATCATACTTTGCCTCCCGTTGGTCTGACCTGTTTTGATTTGCGCTGCTTCAGCTACTAGCCAGCTATTTAGCGATTGCTAAACTAACAGCAGTATACTTCGAAAAATATGATTGAACAGTCCAAAACCTCCAGTCTGTAGTTGCACTGGACTTGCTCCCAACGACTTTATGCGCCAAACGGGCGAAACAAAGATTCCGTTTGAAATCTCTCAAAAATTGTATCTTGTTACTCAAAGGCTACAAATATGGCACGTTGAAACATTTTCCCCCGTAATGTGCACCCTAAAATATCATTTGCCCATAAGACATCGACGCCAGCGACCTGTGCCTCTGTTCCACGTCCTTTACCTTTCATGAGGAATCCCGTGGTGTTAATCGAAGAAGACAACTGCTGACTTCACCAGTCATGTTGTGTCTACTGCGCGCAATCAGGTAGGCCGTCAGTTGGCACTAGGACCTTACACACTCTTGTAAGTATGTGTCATAATGCATCTATCAAACCCAGGTCCTAATGACGGGCTTAAAAATTTCGAGTCTCCAGGTATGACGTGTCCACGGCTCGGGATATAGGCGGTTTTGAAATCGCTCGCGGCAGACGTGCGAAGTCTGACCCCAGTGGTAAGATGCATGCGTCATTCGATGTCAAAGCTCCGTCTTAGTCGGTGGTTCGGTGTTGCTCCTCGCAACCCTGGCACCTCGTAACAGGTTTCGTCCTTATTTGGACTCATCAGATGGAGATAGCCTAGTGTTCAAAGGTCGACGCCTTGACCACTGTGGCTCTAGGATCCGTGAGCAGCGCTTGATCTGTCGCACCTCGGTAGCTAATAGACAACGGATTACACTCCTTCAAAGTTGTAGTTAGACTACCCGCTGACTGGCTGGCTAGCAGTACGCAATCTCTATTGAGACTTCGGTCGTTCCGATTCCATGTTGCTCCTCCCAACAATGACACCTCCTGGGACGAAAACATTAAAATTAAACCCTCCTACTCATTCTAATATAAAATGTAGCCTGCTCTCCTAGTTTCAAATGCTATGGACGTAGCGTAGTGTGAGGAAATCATGACCTTCGGAGGTTAGCCACTGTCATCTGCTAAGGTAGTAACCTGCGTGGCAGTTGAAGATAGGTCGTGCTATATCCCAGTTATGTAGCCCAGGCGACGTCCCCAGTGGCTTAAACTGCTGGCTAGTTGACATCTGCCTCTAGCGGTCATGGGTTTGATCCGCAGGAGGAGACCGAGGGAATGCGCACCGCTGACGAGCCCCAGTAGGGCGGAACACGTCTGGTGCCTTTCCGGGTTAGGCTGTGCTATGTAGCTTGTTATCGTAGAATTATAGTTGATGAGGGGCTTATACCTTAAATGGGCTTTATCCATATCAGCTGTAAGGTGCTTGTCGTCTTCGCACTGTTCGCTTGGTCCTTGTCACGCCATATCCGGGCATCATTTGCGATATACAGGCCCAATCGCAGTTTACATCCGGTGGAAATGAATTGCATTTTATCCTTTTCGCTGTCCATTTTCTGCAACAATCTCCGTTCTCCCTCATCGTTTTTACTTGTGTGTGTTACGACGCTAAGTGCAGCACTACACTTCAGTGCTCGAATCTACAATGATTTGTTGCCTAGTTTTTTTTACCTCATCGTCGACAGTCCATCGAAACTGGGAAATAAATATCCTTGTCTGTGTAATCGAGTGTGAGCCCACTCCTTGCATGTGGATTTAGGAGAAACTGGGTGTGTCTGATGGACTGATATCCTTTGGACCTATCTGCTGTTGTGTCATTTTGAAACTCTGTTCCTGGTAATAACCAGTACATCATCAACAGGAACTTTCAAGCCGCGCGGATCTGTTGATGATGACGTTCTTCAGATTGACATGTTTGTCAATCAAGCGACATTAATGTGTTAACCCACCAATAAGATGAAGAAGGGAATGTTGTCCCATCCTCCTTAAGATTTTTTTTGAAACCACACAGTGCCAACGGACAAGTTCCTACAATTATCATTAGTTACACTAACCCTTTTCTTGTTTACGAAGCCTCTTTATCCTGACTCAATATCCTCCTCGTATGGTTCCTACAGATCACCAAGTTCACTCAGATAACTCGATTGATCAATGATCTCACCGGAAATCCCTCAGCCGATGTATCTACCGTCCAAGCCCAAATGTCAGGCTCTAGGGAGGGTGGATCTTGCCTAACGGACTGCGTCACCGGAGTTAGTCCTGAGGAGAAGAAAACACGTGCCAGCGTTGTCTCAGGAAAAAAACCACCCGCACGAAGCACCCGCCGCTGAAACGAACTTGCTCCGTGTACCTATGTTTCGTCGTCATCGCACTTGTATAAATGTACTCCAGAGTTGAATTACGCCCGTCAACATGTCTAGAATGAGAAATAAACACCTCACTTTGTGGCACATCAAAGAAAGATAGAACGATGCGTGTATTTATATTATCACTCAAAATCTGTTAGATCTTTTCCGGCCCGTGTACTTTGAGTCATTTGCCACCTCTTTCATTTGCTTCCGTGCGCGTTCTTTTTTCTGCTTGATCCACGCCACACTGTGTTTCGGGACCCTCTTCAGTTGTCGGGACTTGCGGACTTCCTCCAATCTGCCTTGCAACACCCTGGTGGGGATTGGGCCGTCATCCGTGAGGGGTTGCGGACGGTCTCGAGAAATACTGACGTCAAGAACCAGGAAGTATCTGACCGAAAGAGTGTTAAGGAAATATTATCAGATGATGTGGGAACGCCATATAAATCGAGTGGAACAAGTGCAAATACTCTGCAGGATGAGGTACAAAGTGACTTCAACGAACTGCAGAAAAATGGCGCGCCAGTAGCCAACACCTCACAATCCTGTGCACACGCACTTTTTCCTTATCAGTCTTAGTCATCCACAGTCCGTTCGCGTGTGTTCTCGAGCAATTACCTTTGGCTTGTTCGGGACTTGAGTGGTGCGAGCGCAGAGTCCTTTGCGAACATTGGCGAAGAGAAATAGAGGCAGATTCAGAGGTAATCGTTACAACTGTTTTTGGTCAGGAGCTGAGTAGAAACGAAACGGGTGTGATACTTCTTGAGCCCAATTCGTGCGCCATCATGCAAACGATTTTCTGTCCGCGTACATCTGGCTTAGAGCCTAAACCAAGACAGACACTGAACGAGGTTCATCTGATAGGTTAATCCACTGTCTGATCACACACTCAGGTGAACTAAAATTAGACAGGTTTTCTGTTGAAAAACAAGGTTGTGAATCATCGGCGACGTGCAGCTTGGTTGCAAGAGTTGGGATGGCATCGTTGGAATCACGTCCATATTGACTTTGGTATAAGCAGGCAAGGCGCCTACGGATAAACAAGTTAACAAGATGCGCCAAACAGTGAGACATCGTCCTCTCTGATAATGATGTCACCGGAACCACTGTCCGCGGCCAGGTTGACTACCCGATTGCGATCAATCAGGCAAAAATACGACTGAATTTAAGCAATGCTCTGGTCTACCACGTTGCGCAACGACAGTTGTGTGTTGAGAATTGACTTGCTATCCGTCGTCCTCTCTAAAGATGTGCGTTCTTGTCACGTCCAGTTCGAAGCCTACTCATGTGACTGCTAGCGGTGGTCAGTATGTCGACGCATAGAATCAGCAGTACCGATACTACGCTGCCGCGCAACCAGTCGCACGTGGGCTAAGTATACTGCGAGGGTCGCGCGGTACCTACGCAGACCGGAACCCAAGCCCTCGGATTACAAGGCAGGCTTGTGATCCTTAAGGCTACGGGCCGGTAACGACGCGCAATCTTGCGTGTAATCCTTGCGCAGCGGCCATGCTAATCTTCCCTGTATCGTTCCTGTTTTAGTATATGTACCGCCCCCGTCGGCGCATACCATAGTATGAGTAGACGGATTTGGTTCGTCGCAAACGAAACGATTGACGCTTTTCGGGATTGGTAATCGACTTTTGTGGCTTGCAATCTAATTTCAACGAATCAAATAAATCATATCATAGCGTCAGTTACGCCAACTTCCTAGGGATGAACCACGTCTACAGCTAGGGAATAGTGATGGGCTTTCTTGTTCGAAGAACAACTAGCCTTCCTTAAAACTATGCTTGCGTATCGACGTCACTTGTCCAGCTTCACGTCTGCCGATGAGTCGAGACATCCGTATGAGGAATTAATTCAACCGCTATCTCGATGCTGTGTATCGCACGCTTCACGTTGGTCAACCCGTGTTGGTTAAAGATTATCGTGATGGTGCTGAAAAGTGGACACATGGTTTGATGGTGCGCCGCACGTGGCAAGTTACCTATGAAGTGGATGCACACTCTTCCCTATGTCCACCACCACGTCAACCAATTGCGTTCGTCTCCCGGCCAAACAATGCCTCGCGACATTCGATAGGATAATGTTGAGCTCCTGCAAAAGTCCAAAAGTCAGAAAAATCACTCAGTCGATGGAACATCTAAATCAGTGGTTCTCAACCTGAAGGTAATTATACTCAAAGGGGTTTAAATGGAATTTTACGGAGTGTAAATATAAGTACGAGGGTCGGGTCATCAATCTGTTTCCAAACAAAACAAACATCTGTATCTAATGTAACGAACTACCCAATCACTATTGATTGGCTATCATTAATTAACCATTAGTTAGACAATTTTTAGCAGTAAATTTCATTACATAAAATAAGAACACAAGCCTGCAGCGCAGCTAGGTGGCGCCCTTATCGGCTTGCTCGTCGATCGTTGTTCTTTTGAGTTAGTCTTTCGCCGGGTCGAATTACAGAGTTTAGTGACCACCAAGGTAGGAGCATAGGTCGGTAGACCAGGTGAAGGAAAGAGCGAATGTTTACAAGGTAGATGGAACAAAACAAGCGATTAGTGTTCAGGACGTATCGATGCAGAGTGGTGGTGGGAAGCTGTCATCCAGGACGGACTTGGAAGGGATGGTTGAAACAAATGAGAAGCCACTGACATCTGTACATGTTTGATCGGGGATCACACACCAAAGAAAGAAAGCGAATGGACGTGGAGCACGACTTACGATGTGCATTAGCGGAAACCGCACCAAATATGCCAGAAATTATTAGAACTAAGCAATACCAACCGCATAGTTAATTGATTATTGCAAATTGCTCAAAAATGGGTGTTTTCTTTATTTGGATGATCGAAAGTAACTAAAAATAGCATTCGTTTTCTGTCATTTAAACCAAAAAATGCAATGGTTAATAGGTACTTAGCTTTTTGGACTAACTTTTTGAGTGGTAATTGTTTACAGTGAACCCGGTTTGTGGATAACAGCCTCAGAAAGGTTGGAAACCATTGATCTGAACAAGATGGCAATGTGCATTTATGTGGCTAGATCAGTCATAGGAATATCCGATCGCAAGGAGTGTTAGAAGATTTGTATCTAAACTCATCCTCTTGTTGGTGTTTATGTTCTTTAACTACAACTATTATTTCCCCCATTTCAACTCATCACTGGACTGTAATGCTCTTCCTCTCCACTGTGCTACGTTCAATCTCTAGGTTTTCTATCCCAGAGATTTATCTGCATCATGGCTCGTTTGTCGTTTCATCTTTTGTGTTGCTGAGTGTGGTTCACTGACGGACACCAGGAGTATAACGGGTAGAAAGTAAGTTCGAATTTGGGAAACAAGAAAAAGAAGTATGTAGCAGATGCAAATGCCGTTGGAGTGGTAATTGCATGCTAACCGCGCGTGACTGTGCACTTGAGGTTACTCAGCCACTGGCTGATAGCAAGCAACAGTGACTCACTAATTCAGGTAAAGCAGATAAGTAATAATTAGACGATTAGTGGTAACAATATTGTGTTAGGTGCGACAAAAGATTATTGTTGGCAAGTTCATAGTGTGGCTCACTTCTTTGCTCTCGTGCTGTTTGGATAGTCAATTATCAGTCCTCCGGTGAAACCTGCACGCATCGCCTCTGACTGTAGGAGGTCTGCTTGAGCGGCTGACTCTGGATAAAATTGTAAAACGGCTCTGGCTGTCCTTGTCAAGCATGCGTAGAGAGAGGAAAAGAATGAACGTATTCGTCCAACCGGATTGTGGTCTGTGCGGTTGGAATTGCATAACCACTGGATAGCAGATACGCTAATAGCACCGTCGAAAGATGCGCTCCTAAAAGGTAGGCCGACGCCAATATCTCCGTGGACTAAGTCGCCTTCAACTTCCCGTTCTTTTGCCACGGATAACATCGGCAAGCTAATGTCAATACCGATCCATTTGTGACCATTATCAGAAATCGTCTCGCCACTAAGTCCGGAACCACAACTATCAGTCGAATAATGGAGGGTAAGTTAACTTTACCCGATGTCCAGCACCAGACAGTATTCATCTTCGGGAAGAGCAAGTAGTTCCAATGCACGCTCTGTAATCTTTGTCTGCACTTCAATTATGTGGGAACTGGAAAAGAATAAAAACGAGTAATAAAACTAGGCATACTTTGAGGTATATTTTTCTGCTTCTTTTTCGTTGTAATACTATAAGAGTTATTCAAGAAAATCCGACTCACCAACTCCGGAGGTAATGTGCTTTCTGGGCGCTTTTTGGACATTTAAACTAAAGTTAGAGAATGAATTAATAAGAGTTAAAATGATCTTACAATGGTTTATCGTACGGGTAAAAGTGCGCTAATAACAACTTGGACTGGCCAAAGCAATTTGCTATTTTTGGTCTTTATGAAGCCCGTCTATAGCAGCCCTTGAAGCGAGTCCTCTCGCTAACAACTCGGAGAAGAATGGTCCGAAACAGCCCAAAGATAACTGGATGGCCCAGGAGACAATATCACCTTAAGTCATCATCATTACAGGCTGACTGGAAATGAAGAACACCTCAGCTACTGTGGCACCTTGAAATCTACCAAGAAGCATGAACCACCTTGAAGCCCACCACCAAGCGCACTCCTCTAGTAGTCAACAAGCGCCATTTCAGGCTTCCAGTAATTGCTAAAATTAAGGAGCCTTCCACTAGGTCATTCATTCGTAGATCATTTATTTCGATCCAATCTGCCGTGTGCACAATAGAGGTTTTACCAAAGGCTTTTGTTTTCTGTTTTGGTAAGTGGCTGGACCATGACTCGAATAGCTGGATCGGTTATCCGCACTGTCAGCCGAAACTACAGATTTTGGAAATCAGGGCTAACTTAATCAAGATGTCAGTTTTATTAGAGGACATGGAAGCTATTTTGTTACTATAGCTTTGATAGTTTCTCGAAATCAAAACACTGGATCCCAAGCTAGCTAACTCCTTCAAATGGCCTATCAATCCTCTTTATCAAATGCAGAAGTCAAACATCACTAGGATATCTTACAAGATGCCGCTTTCATACTGTGGAATCGCTGGGCATCCTCTGAGAGGCTGAATCTCTGCTCGTCGGCGAGCTATCTCAGCTGATTCAAGCTGCGATGGAAAATCCGCCGCAAGCTCAACAAACAACTCAAGCAAAACCTGCGTAACGTTCGTGAAATTTGGTTGTCTCAGCTCTCTAAAAATGCTCGCCAGCCCTTCTACATCATTCTGACCAATGGCTACAAAAGACCTGGGCTCAGTGGAGCTATTTGCGACGTTGATGAATCACCAATTACTAACCTACCTAAACGCATGGACCGCTGGGTTGAGCACTTCCACTCTCAATTCAGCTGACCTACTTCTGGCTGTTTAACAAGTATGCCTAATTGCGTACCTTGGAACGCTACACTGGAACCACTCACCGAAGTGGAGATCCGAATTGAGCTTCGTCAATTAAAGCGATTCAAAGCTGCTAGCTCAGACGGACTTCCTCCGAAGGTATTAGTCCGCTTCCTGAAAAGATAAGATATTGCAGACTATCCAGTGCCTCAATCATACAAGAGTCTACTCAGTTTTCTTGGTATGGTTAACTATTACAGCCGCTTCAATCCAGAATGCTCCTTCAGCCATTGACAGATCTGTTTAAAGACAAGTCTCGCAAGTTTGAATCAACTACAAAAGTCACGGCAGCATTCGATAAGATCAAACACGCGTTTACTAACGCTGCTGCGTTTAGTCAATTGAGAACCGATGTCGACACATCCTTAGCTACTGATGAGTAGGAGGTTTCTTGTCAGTATTTTACTGGTTCATCCTAGTTGCTTAAAAGCTTGATTGGTCTAACCCCATCCGGAGAAGCACAAGAAGATCGTTTCGCCCTATTGGGGCTCGTCATTGGCGCGCATTTCCTCGGTCCCCTGCTGGAATCGAACTCATGACCGTTAGCAGCTTATGCCACTGAGCCAAGGGAGACGGAGGTAAACAGTCTGAACTCGCAAGCTAACTGGGGTATAGCGCAACCTATCGTCTACTGTCATGCAGGTTCCAATCATTGCAAAAGACAGTGACTTGCGTCCGAGATTACGATTTCCACCACACAGTAGCTATGCTCGCATAGCATTTGAAGACTGTGAGGGCGCGTATAAGCTGTTAGTATTCATAGGTTCGACCCCCAGCGGGGGACCGAGGAAATGCTACCACTGAACCAATAAAAAACATCCCTAATTCTCAATACCGATGGATCTCACACTGATGTTGGTGCTGTTCTACAACAGGTCATAGACGGTGTTATAACTGCCTCAACTCTCCTAGTCGGCCGAACGAATGTGGCTTGGAACGGATGTGCTCTGACCTGTGGTGAGGATCGGTTGGGTTTGTCGTCGGCTGTAGGGCTACCATAGGCCCCGGTTGTCGCGCAGCGGCATTTGTGTAACCGACCTGGATTGTTCACTGAGCGTTCCGCGTTGCGGTCGAAGTTGGTTTTGGTGGCGAACCCATGTGTCGTCTCCCACGACATTATGTAGCATACCACCGCGATGGGCCGTCCCTGTTGTTTCGATCCAGCGTGGATGACCTTCTCGATAGTCGCGAGCGTATACCGGGGCTCCAACGACGAATTCATTGTGCTTGGTACAGATAATGGATTGACTTGGTGGCTTTTTGGTCGGGATGATGACTTCGTTAGTGGTGCGTAGCTTTCTTCAGCCGGAGACTGGCATTCTGCAGCGGCTGGATTTGGTGTGGGACGGTAAGAGAGTAGGAACGCTTGAAGGCATTCATCCACGGTCCCCTCCCCACGAGATTTCAAAAGTGCCCTCTTGAAGGTGTCGACCAACCTCTCCGCTTGACCACTCGACTAAGGATAGTAGGGCGGTGAGCGCAGATGTTGTATGCAATGCCGGCGACAAAAGTCTTCGAATATGGAAGACGTAAACTGAGTGCCATTGCCAGTCAGTAAGACCTCGGGAAGTCCATGCTGACTGAAAATTCTTTGTAGACAACCCAGCGTAGCGGATGCGGTTGGTGGGTTGACGGCGACCACTTCAGGCCATTTGAAATAGGCGTCGACCACGACCAGGTAGGAAATGGCATCCATCGGACCAGTATAGTCGATGTGCACTCGAGACCACGGTTTTTCTGGCGGTTTCCAAAGAACTGGTAGTTGGTGTGGTGGCGTCTTGGATGCTTGTTGACATCTTGAGCAGCAGCGAACCAATCTTGAATATCGTTGTCAATGCCAAGCCAGTACACATAATTGCGGGTGATTGCCTTCATTCTGTTCATACCGGGGTGAGCAGAACGGAGCTGGCGGAGTGCAGCTTGCCAGAGGCATGAAGAAACGACAACTCGGTCTGCAGTCATGAGGCAAAAATCGACGACGGGAAAGGAGTCGCGGCGTTGATACAGTTGTTTCAGTTCGCCAGAAAAGGCAGTTTTTGGTCAGCGCGTCTAAACGTAAGTGACGGCTTTCTGCAGGACAGGGTCTTGGGCAATTGCGCAACGTATTTCGGCGGAAGTAATGGGGAGACTTCGGACAGTGTTCGAGAGTTGATGACGAACGTCGTCCTCCACGGTAACAGCGGCGATCACCGTGTTTTCTGTAGCATGTTTGGAAATGAGGCGAAAGAGTGCATCGGCTTGACCGAAATTCTGAGTACGATAGTAGCGGATTTCGAAGTCGTAACCAAGAAGCATGATAGCCCAACGCTGAGGGCGGCCAGCCGAGTATGCGGGAATTTCCTTCTTCGAACCCAAGATTGAAAGCAGTGGCTTGTGATCAGTCAATAGCATGAACCACCGGCCATCCAGCATCATGTGGAATTTGGTAACGGCAAACACGATGGCTAGGGCTTCCTTCTCAACCTGACCGTAGTTCTTCTCCGCATAACCGCTTTTTCGGAACCATTTAGGAAGCAGTGGGAGGGAACTGCTCCGATCCCCTAGGCAGAGGTGTCAGCAGCGACCAGAATCGGCAAGGTTGGGTCGTAATGGGTCAGCAGTAGGTCAGGACTCAGTATGAATTTCAGACGCACGAAGGCCTCGCAAGCGGGCGCTAGTACCAAGGAACGTCTTTTTGCAAGAATCGATTGAGCGGGGCCTGTAGATCATGTAGCGATGGTGAGAAAGCACTGTAGTAGCTGATGAGGCCAAGAAAGGACCGCAGTTGTGACACATCATTGGGGGACGGCATCTGTTGGATGGCTCGGACGCTTTCGAGGTCAGGATGACGGTCATTAGCATCGAAGACAAAGTCCAGATACTTGATCGACCGAGGGAAGAATTGACATTTATCAGCCCTCAGGCGGAAGCTATACTCCTGGATCCGTTCAAAGACAGAGACCAGACGTTCTCGCAGTTCTTCTAGGGTGCGATCAATAATGAGATCATCCAGGTACGCGGCCGTACTCGGAATGTCAGAGACCATGGCGTCCATCATCTGTTGGAAAATGGCTTGGGCGGTCTTGACATTAAACGGCAGTCTGGTGTACTGGAGGAAACCGCGGTGTGTGTTGATCGTCAGAAGCGGTTGCGATTCAGGAGCAACATCCATCTGTAGGTAGGCATTTGCCAGGTCGATCTTAGCGAAGCACATGCCACTATTGAGCAGGTCGGCTGAAGATGGCAATGTGTAGCAGTTTGGTTCCAGCGCAGCATTGAGGCCAATAGAGAAGTCGGCACAGATACAGAAGGATCCATTCGGTTTTTTGAGCAAGACGATCCGGGCTGCCCAGGCAAAGTAGGACACGGGTACCAGGACACCCATAACTTCCAATCATTTGAGTTCAGAATCGACCAATGGTAAGGCTGTGTAAGGGGCCGTCCTTTTTGGACGGAATACCGGTTGAGCTCCGGGAGCGAGATATAACACGGCGGGAGTGCGTGTACAGCGGCCAAGACCATCCTGGAACACTTGAGCGAACTGTCGGAAATTGTACGGCATTGCAAATGGCCCGAAGTGGTAGATCGGCCAAGCCAAGGTGATCGAGACCAATCACGTTAAGCTTCGCCTTTGTGCTGTAGCAGATCCCGTCGAATGTGACGCATCGAAAGGAGACGGAGCACTGCATTTGCCCAGTTAGTTGCACGCAGCCACCACAGGTGCTGGTGGTGGTTTGCTAAGGGATCGCGAGAGTTACTCGGAGTTGGTCGTGATGTCCGAAGCAGTATCCAACTGCAATCGAACAGGCTGCCCATTGAGCAGAACGTCGACGAACTTCCTGCGGTCACCGTTGACTTGGAAGGTGGCGGACAAGCTCAAGGAGTTGCCAACCGGACCAGTTTTGGGCGTACGTCTGGATCGTGACCTCTTCGTTTGCGTGTGGGGCCAGGCCAGGTTTGACCTCCTTGAGCGTCGTAGGATTGCAGTAGCCATCACGGTGCCCCACCCTGCTACAACGCTGGCATCGGTGCTGGCGGAAGTTGCAGTCACGGTGGAAGTGCTAGGCATCGCAGAATCGGCACGGATAGGGTGGAGACTTCGCTCTGTCGGATTGGGTAGGCCGCCCAGAAGATTGCGGCATTGATGCTGCGATTGCTTGGACCAGACCAGGTGCGGGAGAATTCCGGATTATCGCGGAATCATCTTTCAGATTGATCAGCATTTGACATTCCTCGACCAAGTTATGAAGTGTGCTCGTGTTATCCTGCTGCAAGTTGGACTGAAGGCGCGTTCGCATGTCGACATCGTGACCGGATTGGAGGCCAGAAATTAAAACCAGGTACTTGAACCGATCTTCTGTGAGGTAGCCAAGTTGGTATCGTTCGCATTCCCGATTGACGATGCCCGCATATGTGATGAAATCATCGGTATCCCTCTTAATCAGTTGCAGATATTAGAACCGGGTGTTGAACAGAGAGGACTGTTTGCCGAAAATCTGCGACAACGTGCGGACTTTTTCGACAAAGGTAAGGTCGCGGGGGTTCTTTGGCCAGACGAAGTTGATATACCGTTGGTGCTTGGCCGTGTCCGATTTGCGCAGAAGCAGTCGGACCTTCCACGCGTCATCCTGGCAAGCCAGGTCAACGGTGAATAGGTCCTCGTACCGCTTATACCAAGAATCGAAGGTGACATGAGCGCCAGGATCGTACAGGAACTCCGAGATACTGCCAGCGATATTGTCAATCGATTGAGAGTTTTCAGCAAAGCCTGATTGAATGGAAGAAGTGGAAAGCTTTTCTCTTAAAGTAGACATCAAATTGAGCTGTTGTTGAAACTGCGACTTAAAATCATTATAGGTAATCTCCATGGTTCGAAGCAACCCGTCGCCACTTTGTTATAACTGCCTCTTGGTATTAACTCTCCTAGTCGGCCGGACGAATGTGTCTTGGAATTATCTCACACACGACAAAGTAACCAACAAAATTCGAATTTGTACGGCTCGTGAGACTTAGGCGCAACGCGGTTACTACGCGCGAGTTGAATGGGATCCTAGACCAAACGCAGTTTCACAAGCAGCTAACCAAACCCGAGAGATCAAGACAAAAAGACGTGCTTTTCGCGTAGGCAGTTTTACCCACCAGTATACCTCGATGGTGCCAATGGTTTGCGTAAGCAAACCCTGGAAGTAAATTATTAGCTCTATACGAATATGACAACGGAACATGTCGCAAAGTGAATGTTGGCAGATGCGGAGGCTGGA